GCTGTTGCTCTCCACAGGGTCATGAACCAGTGGTCAGTCTATTAATAGAACAGGGGTCAAAGGGCAAGATTCATCTACCAGCACATCACGAGGTAGGTCATTTTCACAATTCATGAACTTCATGGCCACCATTCTTGTATCATGGAAGTTTGTCAATGCAGCCATATGATTGGATTGTACCCAAAGGAATACAGCCAAAGTGCACAAGGGTTCGAATTTGCTCCTTTGATCGGCTTTTGTGTACAAATTGGTAGGACTAAATTTTGAATTGAAATTTCAAATATATTTTCAGTCTGAAGATGACAGATCTAAATCACAACGAGCAAAATCTTCGAAAAAACGGCACCAATCAGACGAACGTGATTCATCACCACAACAACGTAAACATCAATCACCACATAGCGAGAAAGAGGAAGATTCTTATCAACAGTCCAGCACTCAACGCAACGGCTCACGTAAAAAACATTCCAAAAAATCAAGGCATAGAGATAGTGATAATTCAGAAAGGTCATCACCAAGGAGATCGAGGGGGGATAACTCTCGTAGTAAAAGCAGACGTGAATCTTCATCAAGAAGCAGAAGTAGAGAATCAACTCCAGTTAAAAAAGATTGTAAAGAAAAACCATCCAGACGGAATGACAGAAAGAAAGAGGACACATACCAGACGTCTGCATTTCCAAAAGTTGGCAGAAATGATTTAATAGATGACCTTAGTGATAGGTCATCACCACGGCAACTGACTGATGATGATAAATATGAACAGTCAACAAGGAGAAAGGAGAAGGTAAAGTTGAGCCATTCAAATTTTCTATTAAATATGAAAACGGACATTCCACTTAAGCTTTGGGTAGTTATTGTGGTAAAAAAACAAAAATGGTGTCTGCTGTGTGAAACATAATGTTGATGTTAAAATCTGTTACTTGGTTACTCCAATATCCAACATTTTGTTGCTTCTTTTCTTATGTAATTTTAACATTAGCAATAAAATGGAGCTTACAATTTTGCAATTAAACTTTTGACAATAAGTAATTTGTTAAAACTAACTAACATTTTGGTTTTATTTCAGAGAAGTCCTAGGTCAGATACAAGCAGTAGAATTTCTACACCCAGGAAACAATATTCTGTAAGTTTGTTTCCATATTTCTTTGTAAAAAACTGAACTTTATGGGTCAAAGGCAAATCTATGTTTTACTGTTTAATTTGTTACTGCACTTTAAAAAGGATCTTGTCCCCTCAATATTCTCAGTTGGCATCTGGTTTGTTACAATTGCACTGTTGACGTCTAGTTTTTTCACTTCAAGGGCAATATTAAAATCTTCCATACTGATATTGTAGGTATTAACACTTATAATTGCAAAAATACTCATAATTCCCGTATAGTGACCTCAATCAAATTTCCATGATTGACTTCTGTATTCTATTCAAGTTTGGATTCAAATATGTGAAACATTCTGAAAAGTTATGTCTATCTTCTCTCTACAGGATTCAGAAGATGGAGACAGATCTCAAAATTCAGATAAAAATAATTCATATAATGAAGATCAGGTAGGTTTTTTATTGCATTAAATATTTACTTCATCACTTGATACAGCTCAACCCATTTCTGCATAAGTTTTTAAATGTCTGGTTTGCATAGTTTCCCTTGAATATTCTATGGCATCTACTCGCCCCTTCCCC